TCCAGTACTCTGGCTTGGAGAATCCCATGGACGGAGGAGCCTGGTGGGCTACAGTCCGTGCAGTCACAAAGAGTGACTGAGCAACTAACACCTCCACTTTTTTTCTGACTACTACGACGACATTCTTTTCACTGTATCAAGTTGCCCTTCTAGTAAGAAAAGAAAACGGGAGACTCTCAACTATTTTTACTTAGTGGTTTAAGTTTCTTAATGACATTTGCTGATTACCAACTGTGATATATTGTTTCTTGCATTTTGGTCCACTTAGTACGAGGAAATTTTAAACAACCAAAATTACATATAATATAACCCAAATTTATCTTCACTATTAACTCTGCATGATCACATATATACACTAAAGACAAACAAGAGAAATTACTTCTTTTTCTTTTGTCACAATCACTTTACTAAGTACTTGCAATTAAATGAACATGTACAAAGCAAGAAACACATTATAAAGGGATACTGGAAAACTGTTAACCAACCCTGAGAAAGAGGATACTCAGCCACAGAAATACAAATATCAAAAGCATGTCAAAAGTAAGCGCTTACCCAGCCAACAAACGGTCTAAGCTGTTCTTCAGGGGTATATTTGTAAGTATGGCTTCTAAGAGTCTCCTATAGATTTGACCGTCCATCTCTTCCGTTTCTTCTCCTTAGCATACATAACAAATTAAAATTGACTGGAGAAAAACGTTTTTGCATGTGCATACTATTAGGTTTTTTTATAGCAGAAAATCTTTCTATAGGAATAACTTTAAAACATATATCCACATCCAGCTTTATACCTATTTTCAATTCAGCTATTCGGTCATTTGTATCTTTTAAAATCATTTTGCATATATTACCCTCAGTTATCCTTTACTTGAAATCTTCTATATTTTTTAAAAACAAGTACTATCATGGCTCTCTCATTAATCAAACAGAAGTCCAAAGAACACAGTCTTTTCGCCAAGCCACATTACAAGCAGTGAAGCTGGGAGCTGAATCTACATCTCAATAAACTATCTGAATACAAGCTAAACTTTCATCTCAATGCCTCCTTACTGAACCAAGAGCTGTCATCTTCCATTATGTAAGACTGAATGTTGACCCTGACTTCATTACTCACCATCTGAACCGGAAATGTACCCTTTCATTTGTGCTAGTCGTGTTTCTGAAACTTGTATTTAAACTGAGATGGGCTTAAGCAATAAATGGATGTAACTTTAGAGCTGACTTCCTCAGTGTGTCTTTCTAAGTCTAGTAGCAACAGCACCAAGAATGCCTTCCCTGTCTTTCCATACTTACTGAAAGGTGAAAAACATATAACGCCAACGATCACTTTCTAATTAACTTCTGGCCTTTTTTTAAATCTGGATTTTCACACATGAGATTTTTCTTTTTATATTTTCAATGACTCAAGGGAGAAAAACTTTTTTGGGCAACTAGATATTTATTGTAAAGGAATCACTAAAGTTTGTTAAATATCTAGATGAAAAGGGAAAGTTTGACTCAATAATGTGTTTTAACTGTTTTAAAATAATTCCACAGTCTTTTTTCATGTAGAAACTGTAAATGAACACACATTAAAAAAAAAAATACTATCTAGAGAGTGTCACAGAGTGAAGTAAGTCTGAAAAACGAATATTGTATACTGACACATACACATGGAATCTAGAAAAATTGTACAGATGATCTTATTTGCAACAGAAATAGAGAAACAGATACAGAGAACACATGTATGGATGCCAAGAGGGAAAGGCGGCAGGCGGGAGGAAGTGGGAGACTGGGACTGACGTATACACACCACTGGTCCTTCGTATAAAGTAGGGAACTAGTGAGAACCTGGGCTTCCCTCACGGCTCAGCTGGCAGATCATCCGCCTGCAGTGCAGGAGACCCACGTTTGATCCCCAGGTTGGAAGATCCCCTGGAGAAGGAAATGGCAACCCACTCCAGTATCCTTGCCTGGAGAACCCCACGGACAGAGGAGCCTCACAGGCTACAGCCCACAGGATCACAAGAGTCGGACACAACTGAGCAACCAAACCACCAGCACCAATGAGAACCTACTGTACAGCATAAGGAACTCTACTTAATGCTCTATGGTAACCTGAGAGGGAGTCCAAAAGGATACAGGTGCATTTATAACGGATTCATTTTGCTGGACAGCAGAAACTAACACAGCATTGCAAAGCAACTTCACTTCAATAAAAACTAATTTAAAAAAATACTGAGTGTATCACTCAACTAACAAGGTTCTCCCTTCAACCAACCTGCTCCCCACCCTAAACGTTTCTCATGTCAGAAAAACAGACAAATTACATAAAAAGAGGTGGACAGCAGAAACGCTAGATATCTCAAAGATATTAACCAGGGTGTGATTTTTATCATAAGAAAATCAAATATGAGAAAGTAAGTTTTTGGACACAACAAGCAAAACCATTTACCTGTAACCTGATTAATCATGGAGACGACCAGATGGGGAAGCATGTAACGCAGAAGAGGACTAATGTCATATGTTTCAGAAATCCCGTGAAGTAGTGTAATAAGATCAGGAACATTACACAAGTGAGGAAATGGCCTTTGAAGAAGCAAGGACATAAGATGTTGATTTTATATGTTAGAAGACAATGAATGGCAATTTTTAAAAATAGCATAAAATTTATCTTATGAAAAAAACTACTCAAAATAACTTCATTCACCTCCAGTTATCATCATTCTCAATTCAATTGTACGTACTTTTTCCCCAGGCTCTCTGGCTTCTGTCTCTGAAGGAGCACTATCAAGCAACTCAATCCATCCTTGATCAGAGAGGGAATTCTGATCAGTGTTCTGATAATCTGTGAAGCCAAGGAGTTAACGAAGGTATCTTCCATGGTCACCTTCACGGAAATCTGACATATTATCATGTATGTTGCAGCTCTGTAATCTGGTAAAGATGATTTCAATCCCTGAATATTTTTTAAAATATAAGGAAAAGCGACAAACTATGTTATTTTAGCCTGCTGAAAAATATTACTTTATTCTGACAAATTGGAAGTGTCATAAATTAGGGGTGAATACAACCTAATGCCCATTGAGAGTCAACACTCCTCGGAAGTGAAAAATCAAGATGCTGGCCCCCTTTCCTGAGGGGACATGGAAATGAGACAAGATTCATGGATGACAGAAGGGATCTCAGAAGGTCTCCCAACTCAAATATCCACTACACATGCTAAAAGAGCAAAGGAGTCTTCTTTTGTATGCAAACATTCACCTGTGTAAGGGAGACTTCAATCAGAAACAAAACAGTATCTGATTAAAGACAATAATTTGGGGACCCTGGTGGGGGGGGGGGGCTTTTGCAGTTCGTCTATGGGGAACCTGGAAAGGCGGGAGGCTATGAGGTACTTGGGTAGAAGAAACATCAAGAAGCAGAAGTCAATACAAACAGAATTAAAAGAGAGCCTCTGCCTTTAAGAGATTTTATAATCCATTCTCTTTTAAAAACAATTTCACTTTTTCCTTTTTTTCTCAAAGATTTTCTGATTTAGACCATTTTTTAAAGCCTTTACTGAATTTGTTACTATATCACTTCTGTTTCAGGTTTTGGGATTTTTGGCCACAAGGCATGTGGAATCTTAGCTCCCTGACCAGGAACTGAATCTGCACCCCCTGCATTGGAAGGCCAAATCTCAACCACTGGACCAGCCAGGAAGTCCCCCAGTGTTCATTCTCAAGGAGCTTCCTAACTAAGATTCCACTCTGGAAAGTTTTCAAGAAGTCATATTTTTTACCTAAAAATTAAATTTCATCAACCATCTGAAATAAACTGCCAATGTAAAAACATTTATGCCTAAGTGAAATTTTCAAAAGCAAGAAAATTTCTTCCAGTACAAAATAATCTATTTTACACATAAGCAGGGCCAACCTTTTGAATATATGGAAACAGCTTGGCAACTATATTGTCGGATAAGTCCTCGGCAGCCACGAGAGCAGACACAATGGTAGAGGCATAGAAACTTAAGAGCACCCTCAACTGAGTGGAACTCCCCGGACACTCAGCAAAAGCCTGGAACAAAAACCACAAACCAAACACACTTAGGAGTGAAAAGCTAATGAGATATAATTATGAAAACATTTATAGTTCTCCTCAACTACTTCAGGCTGACACTTTACTTTTACCATATAATATTAAACAATTAAACATGGCAAGAATGAACAACCTTCCTGACATTTTTAGACTGTGTCTTTGTTTAAACAGTCGCTGTAAAGTATTTGGCAAGGAAGACAATAATTTATTTTTGTAGAGAAACAGCTTTGGTGGTGAAAGACGGATTAAGCTGCACATGCTCCACAAGAGGAGAGCACTTAATAAAAGGCACTTCTTCGAAGTCCCACTGCTACTACAGAAGGCCTTCATTTGCCTTCTCCAGGCCGAGGAAGCAACATGCTAACGGAATTACACGTTCACGAAACAGCGTACTACTCACCTTCACAGATTTTGTCACCAGACTACAAATGAAATCCATGAATCCAAGATCTTTGTAGCAGTGGGTAACCAAAGTTCCTTTAGCTAAGGGCACTCCAGACCGCTGTTACAGAGAGAAAGAACCAACTATTAGTAAGAATAATTCATCAACTCATCATTAAAGTACCTACCAAAGTAACAGCTTCAAACTGCTGCAGTTCATTAATACAAAATATAGTCTTCCATTATAACTGGTGGTAAAGAAGAGATTAACATATAAAATTGTGCAAACTTAAGAAATTCAAAAGAGAAGGGCCAGCAATGAGTGTGGAGGTATTCAGTGAAAAATGGTTACTTATCATGTGTTGCATTTTGATATGTATTTATCTAAATCCAGATTCTCTATATTCTTAATAACTCTACCAGTTAGACTTGGTTTTTCAGTCACTGTGATATGGTTTGTCACTGCTTTACAATAACACTAGTAACAGAAATAGACTAGGAACCCAGTCAACTTATACTGCTCTTCCCATGACCTAGCACTGTGCATGGCATATATAAGTGCTCAATAAATTTTGAATAGATGAATGAAAAGATAATTTGCAGCAAATTTTAATAGGTAAGTATGGTTTGGATACCTGAAACAAGTGTGTCTAGAGAATAGCAAAGTCTGTGTGTAGATTAGAGAAAAAAAATAATGTTATTAGCAGAATGAATACTGAGTAAAAGTTTGATAGGCTTTATTACAGGTTGGCCTTCTCTTCCTGAATATTCTTTAGTTTAAGTGCTTTACATCCAAATTCTTTTCTTCTTCTAATTAAAATTCCCATTCCTTTCTCTTTACTAATTCTGATCGTGGACTGCCTGTCATCAGTCAGAGAGTTACTTGTTCCATGGTCAACCTGTTAGCCTACTTTCATCCCATTTGCCACCTGCTGGCCCAAATCACCATTCAACATTTAATCAAATTCTTGTTAACAACATATATCTACTTTCTTTACTATAGTTACAGACAAGGTGGTAATGACAAGTCAGTTGTTTTCCTACAAAATCACGCTATCTGATCTCAGCCAGAGCCTTCCGGTAAGGCAATCACCCTATTATTTATCTGTAAATTAAATCTTAGCATCTTCTTCCAATACTAATTTCCTGAAGTCCTTCTTTTTTTTACTTTTTCTAAGTATTCTATGCTTTTCCTCACCTAACTTTTTTTAGCTTTTCAGTTCCAAAATTCTAAATGCCAGACAGCACAGTATAATGTAAAGACAAGCTCTAGAATCAGATCTAGATTCAAATCTCAACTCTGCCACTTTAGAGCTGCTTGAACTTTGGTGAGTAACTTAATACTCTAAGCCTGTACTCATCTGGAAGTTTTTTTGTGAGAATCAAAGACAACAAAATACAAACTGCCTATCCTACTATTACGTGCCAAATAAAAGCCAGCTATTATTCATAATAGTTTCAAATGGAAGCTAGGAAATAAAAGTGATGGAGGTAATACTTGGTGCACTCTTAGGAACACCAATGGCTTTAATTTTTCCTAATAATACCTTTTATGAAGGCTTGCAATTAATACAGATACATATCATTCAACAATCATACCTTAACTGGTAATAACCAGAACCATTTGTGCTTTGAATTATTAATTTTTAGAAGCTGTATAACCCGCACAAATATTCTTGTCTCGTGGTATGGCAGAACACAAGCAATGAGGCTATCTTGATTATAAAGATGGATATGGAACCTGGAGAAAGAAGAAGCAAACAATTCAAATTGATACAAAACTTACAAGCATATATTTCCTTATGTGCCCAAATGGTACACCAGTGACCTAAACCCACTTAAAACAACGATAAAACTAGAAGCAAGGTATAGCACACTTAAAGTGCAGGCATTAAAGTATTCAATAGGGTTGGCCAATTCTTATGCAGAAATATTTTTAAATATTCAATATCAAAACTGACATCCATTCACTTTTTCTCAACTTTTTAAAAAACCCATTTATTACATTAACATAATTTTGGGATCACTGCAGTCAAACCAACAGAAAAGCAAACTGGGTCAACTAGGTAACACTCAATTTCTCTCTGTTCTCCATAGTTCACCTTCCACAGCTGTTCCCTCAGTTTACCTAACTATGAATATCATCATCCTAAAACCAGAAGACTAATTACAAAGAAAATCATATTACCTTTTTTGAATAAAAAAATTTATGAAATTACAAACCTATTTAATTTGTCCATGAACTTTACAAAACTTGGTATTGGTCATGCCACCCATTAACATAAGACAGATGTATTAATTCTGTCAGATTCATTAAATCCTTTCTAGCCTTTAAGATCTAAATCCCTTCCAGGTTTCTTTCTCGAGATGTTTTTATTAAATCTCCCAGCCAAGTGATCCCTCTGTCTGTCGAAGCTCTCCTATCCCTTCACTCTTATAGCACCACACCTCTTGCCTTTTATTAGTTCTCTAATAGGGCATTAGGACTAGCCAAGACTAGTGGCTAATCTTCACTTCCTCCATGAAGCTCTCTTCAACTACTTCAGGCAGCACCACACACTCCCAAAACCTTATATACACCCTTACTGTGGCATTCATTTCACAGTGGTTTAAGAAAGGGCAGCACATTTATCCTTGTATTGAACTTAATGTTTGCTAAATAAGTTACATGAATAAATAAATGCAAAACCAAAGGCAAAAAGTACTCCTTACAATAATGATCTATTTGGGGGAAATTAAATGCTAGAAGACAGAGAGAAATAGTACAAATTTGATTCTTTTTTTGTCTAAAGAATCTAATGATGTAATAATCAGAAGACCCAGGTTAAACTAGGTTTTCTCAATGACTCACTGGCCTCCCTTACCCCCCATGCCTCCAGTTAATGAATTGGAAGTCTTTCTACTTTTAAAACATACATAAGAAAAAAAAAATGTGTAAACAATGGTGTGATACCAATATGATGTAAATAAATGAGAAAATAAACTGAGTAAACTTGGACAATTTCAAAAGGAGATGAAAGATCAGACCTTGGAAACAGATTTATATCGCCACTTACTAGTCATGTGACTCTGCCAACTTAACTTTCTACACCTGTTTTCTCAATTGTATAATGGGGATAAAAGCACCACCTCCCCCACAGGAATGTTGTAAGCACTGATAAGGCATACAAAGTGCTTACCATCAGGCCTGGTGTAAAGTGTTCCATACACATTAGCTATTACTGTTTTTCTTTTTTTTTTTTTTTCTTAAGTTACGGTATTTTAAAGAATAATATTATTCTTTTCCCAAACCACCATTTCTGTTATTTTGGCAAGAAGTTCAATAACACTCTTTGCCCCAAATATGCAAAAGCAATTTGTAATAGCAAAGTGACACAAGCCCCTTAGAACCAAGGAGGTTAGACTATTTACTCAAGATCTTCTAAAAAGTAGTTTTACTTTTCACTATCAATAAAAATGAGTTCAACATAGAAGGGCATGCTTATCTCACCCAATACAAATCGTGTTTATCTCAATCTTTAAATTAATAAATGTTCTCATTACTTAAAAACATCAATGTTATCATCCCATAGTTATTTCTGTAATTTCATTTGCTACCTGTGGATCAACCACTCCAGACACTTCTGTGCTGGCTTCAGCAGGAAGTAAGGGGACAAGTGAATAAGAAACAATGAAATGTTTTCATCCAGCTGTTTGTTCACTGCTTTGGTCTGAACACTGCGCTCCAAGGTTTTTGCTAGCTGGCTGAACAACGGTGCTTCAAATCGCTCAAAGGAAGGATCAATTCCAAGCAGCTCTTCCAGGCCAGTGCATCCTAGGAAAACTCCAGTTGATTTAACAATTCTTTGCAAGTAAACTCGCCTCACCCTTCTTTTAAAGTTGACGTTTTCTCTAATACTCTCCCTATTCTTTTAGAATAATCTGCAATACAGTCCCAAACATAGATTTCTATCCAACATAGAAAATAAATTAAAAAAAAAAAAGAAAGAAAATAAATTTCATCTCACCAAGGAGAAGAAAAAGTATCTGGAGGCAGGGAGCCTTTTTTCCCAATACAATTTCAGTACAGTAACTAGGCCAGTCCTTGGAAGACCCCTCCCTGACCCCCCCAACCACTGCTTCCAGCCTCTTCCTTTCTACACCTTAGATGACTCCCCCCAACCTTGGTGTGAAATTCAGATACCGCTACCTATACACATTTTAAGCATATAGAGCGTAGTTATTTGCCATTCTCTTTCCCTTAACAACGTAAGTCGAGTTAGCAAGATACAAACCGCTAAGAGAGCGGGTCAGAAAACACAGCAACATCAGGGTAACACACGCTTCCCAGGGATTTTTCTAAGTTAAAGGGCAGCTCACCAATGGCAAAGAGGGTGTCTCTGTCGATGGTGCCCGCTTCCTTGGGGTCAAACAACAAAGAGGCAACTTCATCTCTAGATAAAAGACTGGAGTCACTCTGAGGGAGGGCGAGCCGTTGGAGCTGCTGGGCTAAGGACGTCATCTTTCACGTTGGCAGACTTCTAAAAACACAGGTTAAGAAGCAGACCCACCGTGAGAACCCTCTACAAAATTGTAAGACGGCGTAACGGCAAACAGCAAATGTCTCACGTACAAGCAAATTTCCTCCACACTTAGCGAGGCTGCGGACACATCACCTGCTGTCCAGGAACCCCCAGACGCCAAACGTGCAAACCCTAAAAGAACAGCACTATGAGCTAATGACATCCCCGAGGGCCGCGCCAAGCGTTTCTCAGCTCCAACTCCGCGGAGACTCGAAAACTCGAGGACACCTAACCCTCCCCTCCATACCGCCCCGACACACAGGCCCTGCTCACCCGAGCTCGACTTTGGGCAGGACTCAGAAACCAATGAATCTTCACAGCAGCTCCCACATGGGTACCAAGAAGTCCAGCTCCCGGCCGGAACTGTAGAGCACGCCTCGCGCGAACTTCCGGTTTCAGGCACTACGGCAAGAGAAGAGGTACAAGCTTGCCGGAAAGCGAAACGATGACTCCGCCCCCAGGCGGCGAAGCCCCGCCCCTCCGCCGCGCGGTCCTGATCTGTTGGAGGCTTGCGGTCTGTGCTTGGCTCGCTGCTGGGTTTCAGTTTCTGACTGGGCATTTTGTGAGCTTTAACGTTCCGTAGCAGGAGTCCTTCATTCAACATACTTATCGAGATTTTTACTACGTACCGGCAGCATGGCGCAGTGGTTAAAACTGAGCCATGCCATCGCAGCCCGGGTTAATATACCCGCTCTAGGGTCTTTGGGCTGTGTGAGCTGCACTGAATTCTCGTCTCTCGGAGTTCGGTATCTCCTCTATAAAATGAAAACAGGCTGAGAGTTTCATCAGATGACCTACTGATCGCAGCGCGAGCCGCTCTGCAAATAAATGCTGGCTACCACTATTCTGAAACTTGGGGCCAGCCACTGTATTTCCGGAGTGCACGCCCTGCCTGATTTGTTGTTTTGTTTTTCACTAACCCTGGTGAAATACAATTTACAAACTGCATCGCACAATTCAGTTTAGCAGTTCGATGAGTTTTAACAAAGGATTAAGTGGGTATCACTATCTGTCCATTCAAGACATAGAAAGTTTCCGTTGCCCCCAAAAGTTCCCTCTGATCCCTTTGCTGTGTGGCCCGCCCCCCCTACTCCTGGCCCCAGGTAACAACTGGGCATCTTAGTATCACTATAAGTTGGTGCTGCTGAAGAGAGTTCCACATGAGTATACCACAGCCTGTTCCCAAAGCAAGAATATGTGCCCAGATGGAGTGAACTGGCCACTCCAAGAAGCTGCACAGGATGCGGGGGTGAGATCGGATATCCTACCTGTATTTTTTGGGTGCATTCGTTTCTCTTAGGACGTGGAGGTCTTTTTGATGCCAGGGTGTCAGTCTTCTATTCTTGAATTGTTGGAAACAGAGTTATAGTTTGAGGGGCTCCCTTCTCTACTCCATGTAGATCTCTCTTTGTGAACACAACCTTTCATTTTTGTTTTGTCTTAACAGCATCTAAAGAACCAAAAAACTTCTCAGTTACTTCTAGAGATAGCTAATGATCTTTTGCATGGGGTGTTGATCGCCTTGCAGAGAATGATGTGGTTTTTTTAAGTTCTAGGGATATCTCTTTGATCCTTAAAAACAGATCTCTCAAAGGAATTTTTGTTGTTGTTCTTTACATCAGCTTTGGGAGAAATGAAAATAGTGAGAAATGAAAAGCTCCCCCACCAGTGTCCCCAAATTATTGTCTTTAATCAGATACTGGTTTTTTGCTTTAAAAAATTCTCATGTTTTACAAGCCTCATCAAAGTGCAAATAAACAAAGATGCCACAAATGTTTGGTTCAATCATGTTTATATTAGTTCCCATGGTATATGGTACTGTGCTGAGTTTTACTTTAAATGAGAAGAAAAAAAATTTTAAGTAAACTAGAAAAGTAAGAAGAACAAGTGAGAGATTCGTAAATATAATATGTTTTAAAAAACATGCTGTGACCTTGAACTGTGTATTCTTCTCCATTTTAAAAGAATTATTTGGATGTATTCCTGATTGTTGTCTGATAACTACCTCCTCAGTTTTTGTGATTATAAGCTTATCTCCTGCTATGATTATTCAGCTGAGGACCAGAGCAAACTTCTTTTCTGTTGCTACTTAAATTCAAAATATTGGTCATAGATCATCTGTTGCTCTGCAATTTCTCTTAATAACCCTTTTACTGCATTTTGCCATTTTACACTCATTAAATCCGAAATTTTAGCCATACTGATATGTATTTCTTGATGCAAGGGTAAGCATTGTTTTCAGACATGGTATATTAACCATTCATTCATGCATTTGATGGGAGATGTCACATGGCAGAGTGATCTATTCTGCTGCTTATTTCAATCACTGTTCATGGCTAGGACTCTAACCCCCCCAAAAAAACAACTTTGTAAGAGTGACTTGAATAAATGAGCTCTTTTGTAAAGGACTTGTAAAAGCCCTCCCTCATCCCATTCTTCTTTACTCCAGAGCACAGATACTTTCCTTCCCCACTTTATACCAAGCTAGGCATACAGTGTAGACAAGACAGGTTAAGTTCTCTGCTCCTGTGGAATTTACATCCCACCAGGAAGTGACAGGTAAAAGGCAAATAGATAAATCAGAAAAGCATCAGGTAATGTAGGAAAAGCTCTGCTGGCAATAATAAAAAGCCATCGGGTAGGGGTAAAACAGAGAGGGCATCATTAATCTGAGTGGCTGGAGAAGGACCCTCTGAGGAGGGAACATTCAAGCCAAGACCTGAATGACTAGTCTTGATGAACTGGAAATACCCTCAGTGAAGTTGCTCAGTCGTGTCCGATTTTTTGCAATCCCATGGACTGTAGCCTACCAGGCTCCGCCATCCATGGAATTTTCCAGGCAAGAGTACTGGAGTAGGTTGCCATTTCCTTCTCCAGGAAATACCCTAGACAGGATCAATCTTGATGTTCACTCCAATCACAGCAAGGCTCTTTTCTGCCTATCAAGTATATCAAGTTTGTAATTTCTTCACAGAGTTGCAACTACCTGGAATGATCTGATTTGTTTGCTTACCTATTTATTTCTTGTTTCCACTCACAGAATACTGTCTTCACACTGGCATGGAGCCCATCCCTAAGATTTTGGTACCAAGGCAAAGTTGCAGATGGAGAAGCAGCTGTCAGTCTAAAATACTTAAGAGATATAAATCAACCTAACACGCTGTAGCCTCGGATATGGTATAACCTTTAACTTTGACGAGAAAAAAAAACAAGTATAATGACAAAACAAAAATATTTTCATATGACTGAAGGACAGCAAAATAGAAAAGATGACAGCATTTAATTATTGTCATACCTGTCTGGATACAATATGGACTTCCCTGGTGGCCCAGAGGTAAAAAATCTGCCTGCAATATAGGAAAGGCAGGATCAATCTCTGGGTTGGGAATATCCCCTGGAGGAGGAAAATGGCTACCCACTCCAGCATTCTTACCTGGGAAACCCCATGGACAGAGGAGCCTGGTGGGCTACAGTCCATGGAGTTGCAAAGAGTTGGACACAGCTGGGTGACTAAGCATTCACACATGCACATACTGGATACAATATTGATTGAGAGTTAATAGATTTCCTATATATTTAGCCCATAGAATTTTGCCTTCATGTCAGCATAATTACCAATTATGTTGTTTAATTCAGACTTTCACAAATTGTGTCCTATTGACAAAAATGATTGAAAAGATTAAAAGATAAAATTTAATTACATTCAAAGTGTACAAAATTTGAATGTATTTCATAAAAATATAAATTATGTAAAAAATCCGTACATTATATTTTTTACTTATTCTCAATGTTTTCAAAAGAATTATCCTTAACAAGGCAAAAGCACAGGTTATAATGTCAACATTTTAAACAAAATTAAATAAAGCTAATTTTTATTTTTGGAAAATATTATTACCTTATTATAATAAACTATTCATAAAAGTTATTCACAAGTTTGTCATTCCATGTCTATCTAGTTGCCAGTGTAAAGAATCAATATCCCACCACATCCCCTCTGCCAAAAAAAGGAAAAATCAGTATTCCCTTTCATTCATGCTATACTTATATCTGTGTTAGTCACTCAGTCATGTACAACTCTTTGCAACCCCATGGACTGTAGCCTGCCAGGCTCCCCTGTCCTTGGGATTCACAAGGCAAAAATACTGGAGTGGATAGCCATTCCCTTCGACAAGGGATCTTCCCCAACCAGGGATCGAACCTGGGTTTCCCACATTGCAGGCACACCAGGGAAGCCGTTATATATATCTACCTCTTTTCAAATTTAAGGGTCATATAAATTTTTCAATGCTCTTAAAGGAGCTTTAATTACCACATCCAACTGTTGAGAATATGTAGTAGTAGTTCATGAGTACCTCCAGAACTGTAAATTGGAAAACAAAAGGAAACAAGAAATTGCATGTTTGGAACTACTTAGAAATAATACTTTATACTTTTCTATGCAAAAATCTAATATGTACATGCAGTCTAAAAGGAAAAGTGTGACAAGTTCATCAATTTGTCTTTCTCTTACTTAAGCACTTCTGGATTTGAATCTTCCCCCTATGCTAAAGCTGTGTCCAGAAACAGTACAATCCACAAACCTTCAGAACATTCAGACAAGTTTGTCTTTTATTTGAGAACACGGGGTGAGAAACTGTTTTCCTGAAGCTTAAGAATATAAATCAAAGACTGGAGATCCAGAGTTATGGAATGTGCCACAGCAGTGCTAGATGGCAGCTTCTGAAGGCCAGACTTCAACATTTTAAAAAAAATTTCTCATGTATTTGTGATATTCATGTGCAGACCTTGGGGAGTTCATCTTTCAGTGTCATATCTTTTTGCCTTTTCATACTGTTCACAGGGTTCTCAAGGTAAGAATACTGATGTGGTTTGCCATTCCCTTCTCCAATGGACCACGTTTTGTCAGAACTCTCCACTATGACCCATCCATCTTGGGTGGCCCTACACAGCTTGGCTCATAGTTTCATTGAATTGGACAAGGCTGTGGTCCATGTGATCAGTTTGGTTAGTTTTCTTTGACTATGGTTTTCATTCTGTCTGCCCTCTGATGGAGAAGGATAAGAGGCTTATGGTAGCTTCCTGATGAGAGAGATTGACTATAGGGGAAACTGGGTCTTGTTCTGAAGGGCAGGGCCATGCTCAGTAAATTTTTAATCCAATTTTCTGTTGATGGGTGGGACTGTGTTCCCTCCTTGATGTTTGGTATGAGGCCTACAGTAGGCCCCTACAGTAGGGGTAATGAAGGTAATGGCGATCTCCTTCAAAAGGACTTGTACACACACTGTTGTATTCAGTGACCCTGACCCTGCAGCAGGCCACTGTTGGCCCACGCCTCTGCTGGAGACTCCTGGACACTCACAGGCAAATCTGGCTCAGTCTCCTGTGG